AAACTGTGCTTAATATGTTTTCTTAAATTGGGTGAAATTAATGATCTTTAATGTTCTAAACTGGGCCAATTTCTAAATCTTTGTAGTCTTTCACAGCATTGTAGTACTTGGTAAATGATCATAAAGAATGAGATTATTTACCTTACTGAAAATAAATGTGTAACTTTCTTTGTATTTTTTTATTATTGCTTATGTCCAATACTTAGTTCATCTACAGGAAGAAAATGAGTTGATGAGTGGAATAATTTTGAGAGTAAATTGCAGAATTGTCTTGCTTCTGTGGTCATCCAAATGCAGACTTACGTAAAATCTCAGGCAACATTTTAGACTATTGTTTTTGAAATATCTTTGGCTTTTAGAGCTGCAAAAATGTGAAATAAATAGAGTACATGACTAAAATAGCATTATTTGCACTAGGAAGTGATAAAAATCTTTTCTTGCAGAAGAATACGTGTCAGCTACTACTGTCTGAGGCAGTTACTAGTGTGTTTCTGCACTTAAACATTTCAGAAACTCTGGGCAGTTTCACAGTCAGCTTGTCTTAGAGGTTGTGAATTTATTGGTGCGTACACAGACTATTTGTATAAGTTTGCCTTGATTTTCAGCAATGTGCCTGAATATGTGATTTACTAGCGTAGACAGTTTTAAAATATGCTAACCTAAACATGTGACAGAACATATAACAATACTGTCAAGTCTGAGATAAGTTGCTTTCATAAATCAATTTCTAGCACCTCTCTCTTTTGCAGTTGTCTTTGGCCAACCTAGTAAGACTTAATCAAGCTATGTTCCCACCAAACCAGGAGAAAATGGAATCACTGTACCGAAATGGATTTGATGACGCTGTACATTTTTTACTAAAAGAAAACTGGTTTGAATAGGCAAAACATAAAAAATAAAACCTGATGGCTTTCAAAACACAGCTATAGACATTCTAACTCAAATCTAAGAGGTTGTTATCACAATTTCTGTTTATTGAAATAAAAAGTCCCATTCGGAATTGCATCATCCTCTGCCAGGAAAATATCAGCTCCATTCAGAAGACCTGTATAAACTCGTCTGATTGAGAACTGTACTTGACTAGTATTTGGCTTGTTTGAGAACATTCAAGTTTTGATCTGTTTTGCTTCAGAACTGGACTTTAAAATGGCAATTGTAAAAGCTTCTGTTACCGTAATTATACAAATTTGGAAGACTTTTCCAATGTTATTTGAGAGACTAATCAGTGTTGTATCTGTATTCCTCGCTTAATATAGCAGTTGTGCATGCTCACAGAGTGCAGTATTGCTAATCCAGTTTAGTACTTAAAGCATTTTGAAGGATCTGAACTCTTAGCTCTAGCCACAAGAAATAAAACATTTGCACTTTTGATAACATTTATTTTTTTAAACATTAAAGTTTTTGTGCTTCTCAGTGAATGCACTTTCTCAATTAGAAATACTATTTCAAACTTTTGTAACAGAATTGTGATGTTTTGTGTTCACTAAAAATATCTTGTACAGTGGAGTAGTTATTTTTACTGTGTTTTCTTCTGCTGCTAAAATTGAATGAACTTATTTTCTTGAAACTTCTGTGAAGAACTTATTTGTAAGTTTCTCAGAATGCTTTATTCATAAAATAAATGTTTTATTACAACCTGATAAAGTGCCTGGATATAAATTCTTTTACCATTCACCTTGCAACGATTTCCTTAAATGCAAGTTCAAAAATTTTGGTTTTAATGCCTAAATTCTAAAATCAACAACTACTTAAAAGCAAAGCATTTGTTTCTTAAGTGTACTTTTTAAGATGAATTCTTAATGTTTACAAAAATTTGAGATTGAATTATGTGTAGCACTCCTCCAAAATAATTGAAAATCTAGGGAAGTGAGTATTGCAGTTAAATTATACATATTTTGTAGCTGTTTGAAGGCCTCTTAGTGTAAACAACATATTCATATGTAGATGATATCAGGATAGGATTCATGTGGTAGGATTGAATTCTGTTGCTGTTTTTGCTAGAAAAAATAATAATGCTTTGCATCAACATTTTTAGATGCATGAGGTTCTGTATTGCAGTGAAAATAGAATATAATTTCCAGATACGTAGGACTCCAGATATGTAGGACAGCATTTCTACAGGTAGAGCTGAAATGCTTTGATGCTACAAAGACACTTGTGCCTTGCTTGCCTTCATTCTTACTTACACAGAGGAGAACTTTTAACACAGATAGAAATAGTGAATAATGCTATTAAAAGATTGTTGGAAACTGATTTGCTATAGCCTAAAATTGTAATTCAATTTCAATGCTTATTTTGGTACTATGGCAGAATCTTCTTTTCCATGTAGCATTGCTGATTGTGTTCCTAACCTAATCCTTTTTTTTTTTTTTTTTTTTTTTTTTTATCTCTCCTGTGTATGGTCTTACTGGACAATGACTTTTATGCATCTTTATTCATTAAATATGTTCTGTTTCAAAGGGAAACATCTAATAAAATGAGAACCTCTTAAGCTTTATTTTCTGTTATCAGTAGTTATGTTTTCAAGAAGTGAATATTAGCTTTTCTATGTGAAGTCAATTTACTTTGTTTGTGTGTGTGTGTGTGTGTGTGTGGCTTTTGCTTTGTTTCAAACCACAATGCAAGTTCTGCAGTTTGGCATTTTCTGGCTAATTTTGCAGGCTAATAGCTAGATTTTTCTCTTAGTGCATCATAAATCTGTTATAGTAAGAAAGGGTTCTGACCACTTTATTAACATTTTTCACAAAGACCTAAGGTAGTAAGAAGTTTTCTTTCTCCTCTTTAAAATAATGCTTTAAAGAAATGTAAATCCTAAGTTCTTAAACAGATTCTGTTCATTTTCTGTTAGAGGTGTTTCAACTGAAGTCCTTGTATGGCTGAAAGCATAATTTGTGCTTGCTAGAATTTCACCTTCTGTTAGACTTACTATGTAAGTCTGGCTGTTTAACTTTTTAAGTTTTTAGTGTCTTAAGCAGTTGAAGGAAATCAAACTTGCCAAAACTCGTATCTATTTTCTGCCTTCATGCTGCTGATATGTGGTTGCTGTCAAGATACAGACTTACTGCAGAGAGTCCACTGCAGACACACAAAGATCATTAAAGGACTGGGACATCCTTCTTATGCGGTGAGGCAGAGATTTATGGATTTGTTTAGCTCAGCAAGAAAAATGCTTATGAGGATCTTAGATGAGTATAAATAGGTGATGGGAAGGAATGATAAAGATGAATCCAAGCTCTGCTCAGTGTTGGTCAGTGTCGTGACATGGCAATGGGCACAAGCTGGAATACGGCAGGTTCTTTCTGACCATCAGAAAGCACGTCTGTGCTGTGTGGATGCTGGAACACTGACAGAGGCTGGAGTTCCCCAGAGAGATTGTGGAGTCTCCTATGGAGATCTTCAGAAGTTGCTTGGGTGTGGACCTGGACAACCTGCTCTTAGGAGGCTCTGATTGAGCAGAGGTTGGACTAAATGAGCTATTGAGATTTCCTCTAAGCAATAGTTCTCTGATTCTGTAATTTACTGTACGATCAGAATTGCATATAAACTACTATATTGCATATTGTATATTGCATATACACTACTATATGTGTGTTAAAAAAAGTGTAAATTAGAAAATATAATTTTTCATCTACCTGCTATTAAAAATTTCTTGTGTTCTAAACTGGATTCAGCCCTGCTGACAAAAAATTTGCTGACTGCTACATAGAAAATAATGATTTTGGTTTTTTACTGTCCTTATGCTGTTGGTGTTAGATAGCAGCACATATGCCCTGTTATTTGTTTTCAGACAAAACTTTGGAATGTTTAACCTTTCTGACTTGAACATTAACTCCAACTTATTAGGAAACATTACATAGAAAATAGCTCTGGTGTTTCTAAGAAGCATGTGAAAAAGTGTAAAAACCGTGTTGACAATTTTGAAGGACCATTGATCTGAAATGGAAGCAGTGCTGTAAAGTGGAAAGAAAACAGCCCCATTCTAGTATACCTGTTATCTGAATGAGATGTCTTGAAAGGCATTTGCCCTGTGGTTATGTCTGCTAGATTAAGAATGAACCAAAATGCAAGATATGGAAAGTTCCATTGAATGCATTAATGTTTTTGTGCTTCTTGAAGGTAACTCTGGTTCACTGACTTCTGCCTTCATATGACTGCATCTTCTTTTAAGGTGGATTTCACACCTCATATAGGATCTTCTCTAAAGCTACATGTTAAGATATATAAAAGATCCCTTAATATTTAAGGTAATTAAAAACATAAAAATAAAATTAAAAAAAAACTTTAAATAGAAGAGGTTGGTCATGTTTTATAATCAACAATTTTTTTTTTTTTTTTTAAAGATTTTTAAAATAGGAAGTCTGAGGTGCATCTGAGAAACTAGTTTCTCTGGAAATTTACATATTTTCATCCCAAATTAGAGTTTAAATTTCCGAATCTGGAAACCTGAATATCTATGACTGAAGATGCACTCAGAACCCAGTTTGAGTAGAGGAGAGTGAGGGAGACCATTATTTAGTTCCTGCTATTCAAATTTAAGACATTTTTTTGATTTTTTCATGACTTCATGACTGCTCTCCGCCTCTCCAAATACACAAGCATTGTTTGTCTGTCCTGGAAGTAATACTTAACTGTCTCTAAGTGAATCAGAAGTGCTTTCAAGAAAACGAGTCCAATATCAGTTTTTAAAACTGTTTTAATTAGTATTTTTACTTGCAGAACAGGCAAATAATTTAGAAGAATGCAGTACTGATAAAGCTTTACTGATAAAGCTCTACTGATAAAGCTGAACTTCACTAGCAGTGTGCATCTACATCATAATGTACAGTCTTGAATATTAACTATGACTTATTGCCCCCTTGAGTAAAAAAGAGCTTACTCTTTGTTTTATATTCATAGTGTATAAGGCTGTAATCTCTGGCGTTTTAGCCTATGAACATTTTCCTTTCATAATTATATTTTCAGTGTTAAAAAAAAAAAACAAATCTTGATACACAGTACTCAGCTTATAATATTTAATCATTTGTGGAAAAAAGAAAAATTCAATAACTCAAATAGAGTTTGTTAAAGTATTAACTTCTCTCAAGTCACATGTACATAACTATTCCAAGGCACAACTTTCTCTGAGCACTTAATTATTATGCAAATTATGGTAAGCTCTTTCTATGAAGTTTAATTCTATTGTTGCTGTTTACATGGACTCTAAAAGCATCCTAAGTACTTTAAAACAACTTTTGAAGATATTTTTAATCCAAATAGCTTACGCTGTGTTAGATATGCCAGAAGAAGAACAACAAAGTCAAGCTCTTCATCAGTAATTATTATGTTTTCTTCAGAAATTGTAACTATTAAAAACATATTCAGTATTTTCATTCTTTTGAGAGAGGCATGTACAAATGTGCACTATATCAGTAGCACAGCTGGCTACACAGCCAAAAGTAGAAGTAGTTGCAGGGATGTATAAATATGAGGGCAGGATAAGGAGCTGGAAATAAGGTCAGGCAGTACATCAGGAGAAACTCCTCTATGACAAAATCTTTTTTTTAAATTTATCTCAGCAACAGACAGGTACTGTAATACAGAATTTGCCGTTGCTTTGATGAAGCAAAGCTGTCTTAACTCAGATAAAAACAAAATTCTACATGTCCTTGAGTTTGAAATGGAAAAAGAAATATATCAGCATGCATGATCAGCTTTCTTGGCATTGAAATATTAATATATTAATAGCTTTATCACTGTTTTTGTGGTAGCTGTGCACTCTAAATATCATTGCATTTGTAGCTGCATAGAGAATTGATTTCATTAGTTTTGAAGTAAATACATGAATAGATGAAAACATCTTGAACAAAGAAGATTCCAAGTTCACAAAATGACTTGTGTGTATGTTTCTTCTGTATCCTGAAATAGTACACATCATTCACATGCTCATAGCATTACAGTTACAACTGTGAGGCTTGTTTTTCATATCACTTTCCTTTCAATGTGACTGAAAGTTCTTATTAGTGACATATCTTCATATTCTTGGTTAGACCCATTATTAACTGGTTTGGGTGGCTTCTCATAAATCCATTCACTTGGCAGGGTAGTGCTGCTATCTGTATTTCTTGAATCATTCTTCCACTTTTTACAGCAGTGATGAATCTGTTGCAATATTCCAAAAAATATATTGTTAAGCTATTAATTTGTTTTTTTTCCACTAGATACCTCATTTTTCAGAGAATACATTCCTTACTTCACTAACGTAGTGATGAGTATTTATTCTGAATTGTTCGTAAGGTTGCATATCACAGTCTCAATAAAATACTGAAGAACTGATTTTTACAGGTAGTGGCATAAGGGTAATTCTCACTGTATTCAAGAAGTAGAATGTGAGTCTGACTTTATATCAGTATTTTCATTTAATATTTCTTCAATGCATGGTACTATCTTTTAAGGTGCGTAAAAGCTTTTATTTTATTTAAACAAACAACTTGGTTAGGGTGAAAGAGGTTTGTGGTTTTTTTTTTTAATATTCGTCCTGTATTCTTATGTAGCTTAAGTGATCATTCTGGAGAGTTGATGGGATAGATATCTTCTTTTGGGGAGAATCCATAACTGACAGCTCTAATGGCTTCCACATAAAATATGTACAATTTTCATGCATGTTACATGGGAATAGCACATTGTTATGCCCTAGTCTTGATTTTGAAGCACAGAAAGAAAATTTGACAAAAGTAAGGAGAAATACAAGAGAAATTTAAGCTAAGAAAAGACAAGTGTGACTTCTTCCTGAGATAGCAGCTCCTTCCAGAAGGTACCTGAAGTGCTCAGCCAACCCTGACACACCAAATTTAAGTAGTGGCCTAGAAGTGTCAAAAAGCCAAGGGACTTTTGAGTGATCTAGTACCTCTTTCATTATTTCACACTCTGATTTTGACACTATACACATTTTCATGGTATGGCACATTTGTCATGTAGTGAAGAAATGACCTGTAAGAAATTATAGACTCCCTGACTTCAAAAATGTCAGTGTCTTTCTCTTTAGCTGCTGTGCTGCCTTGACCCTGGCCAGCAGCCAAACACTCATGAAGCTGCTCACTCACCTTCCCCTCCCCAGCAGGATGGGAGAGGACAAGAAGAACAAAAATGAGAAATCTCCCGGGTCAATGCAAGGGCAGTTTGATAGGTGAAGGAATGAGGAAGAAAATAAACAACCAAAAAGTCCTAAATGAAGCAAGGGAAATCACTCACCACCTCCCTCCAGCTGACCAATGCAAAGCCAGTCAGAGAGCAATGGTCATCTTTTTAGCCAACAAAAACCCTTTGTTCTTCCTCTACCCCTGATTTTCTTGATGAACACAATGTTATGTGGTGTAATATCCCCTTTGGTCAGCTGTGGCCAGTCATCCTGGTTGTATTCACTCCCAGCCACTTGATCATCCTCAGCCACCAATTTGAGGAAGCAAACTGAGAAATGGAAAATAACTTGATGATGCCATGCAAATGCTGTTCAGTATATTGGTATGCTATCAATACCTTTAACCACAAATCCAAAACACAGCACTGTATAAACTCAATTCTTCATTGAGTTTTTTCAGTGAAAGTCATCCCTGCCAGACCTGGTATATTTTGCTACTACTGATTGTACTCACAGTGACTCATTTTAGGAAAGATTTATTTGGCTGTTTTTGCATATTCAGATGCAGAAGTGCATTTTGGCAGACTTTACTGCTATTGTATCTTAGCAAATTTTGTTTGTTTACTGCCTGAATTGTGTGAACATTTCTGATTTTGATGTGGTTTTGAAGTAACAACACTTAACAACTTGTTTCTAAGGAAAACAAAACCCGTACTTTACTTGACCCAGAAGGGCAATCAGATACCATAAGTGTCTGTAGGTCTTGTAACTTGTCAATGGTGCTGAATCTTTTAATAACAAAATCAGCAGAGAGGGAGCTGTTGCTATAACTCTAGTTTCAGTAACACTTAAATGGCCCTTTTAACTGTACAAGCTGAGAACCTGTTAAATTAGTTACCTATTGCCTCTTGGTCCAATTTAGCCTGCAGCTCTTAACTTCTGAGGAACTCTAAAATATTGGTTTTTGATGGGAGAGGTTACTGGTGATGAACAAGGAACTTTTTAGGTCTCTTAAGTTACTATCTTATACGTTTGCAATTAAGGACCTTGTAATTATAAGTAGAGCCCATTTTAGTACTGCCCATGCCTTCAGAGACTGAGATTCTAATTTGCATCATGTTATGGCACAGCTCAGCTTCATTTCCTTCCAAATGGTTTCCTTCACATAAAGTATATTCCTAAATATGACCAAAATGGAACTATTGTTTGAAAGCTTTCTTTTTAGTTTTTGGATCCATAAGAAGAGGTTGATTAACATGATATGAGATAGGGAAGAGATCCACAAGTAGGAAAGAGAAAAGATTTCTGAAGTATCATGGGAAGTATAAGAAATCACTCTGGGCTTAGACAATTTTGTATCAAAAAATATTTTCTTCTCTTGGAAAGTATTTTCTAGTTGTCAAAGCTGGCTGAGGAAATGCCAGGTGGGGACCCATCCCAACTGGTGGGTGGGAGAAGGCATAAAGCCCTGGCGTAACTGTTTGGTTGGCTGAAACACGTGTAAAATAAGCAGACATTAATGTATGCCTGGTGGAGCACATGAAATTAGGAGCTGGAGCCCAAAAGTATGGAGGAAGCAGGATGTGTTTTGAACTGCAAATCATTTAAGAAATTATTTTTTTCTAAATTATCTTTCATTTCCAGGTGAAAATAAAAACTTGGTAACATTCAGCAACATCAAGAATAGCTTCTTCAGCAAGCTTTGAAAATGGTAGCTTTTACTTTTCTAAGTATCTCCACTGCCAGAGCTTTCTTTTATGGTCATATCCTCAAATATCCAAATACAGGAGATTCTACCTCTAAATCTTTGGTTAACAGAAAAGAGACAGACTTTTTACTTTGCCATAGCTGCATGACCATCTTTCTTTCATTTACTTATAGTATCTTTCCATTAAAAGATGCCACCCATCTTTAGGTCTGTAGTATTTATTTCTGAAGTTGTTACTTACACCAAAAGCTATGATAACTGTGGTGACAAAGAGAGTGTATCCGAGAAGAAGGAACCAACACCACCAGGTGGGTTCTGATCTTACACAGTTTTTGCACGTGAAATCTGAAAAGAAGAGGAAGAAAATTAAGTATTTGAAAAATTAAGAAATAGTTGCTTTTCTGATACGATTTAATCTGAAGGATTAGTGAAGACTGACTAGTCAGCACAGTTGTCTTTATCACATTTCTCTTTTTTTCTGGACTGAAAGGTTATACTTCTCATGAAGGAACTATTGTCTTCTTTCTACTTCAGTGATGAATTTTTTAAACTGCTCTGAGCTAATTATAAAATGAATAGTAAACAAATTTCACAGGTGATAGATCCAAAAACATCTTTATTATATTGCACATACTTAAGTTATGATGAAAAATATGTTTTGGGTTTTTTTAATAAATAAATTAAACATATGGTATGGTATATAAAGTTAGAAGGAGCTGTTTTTCTTTAGGGATTCAGAAGAACTGCATTGGGAAATTATTATATATGAAGTGAAATCTAGTAACAGAGAGATGCTTTGTAGCCTTTAGCATGCACTAATCAGATATGCCTGCAAGTTACAAGCAAAAAACTTGCCTCCTCCAGAATTATTTACCTCAGACACTGAGGTAATTGTCCCCTTCAGGATTACAGAAATTGTTTATATAAATTGAGGCTAGGAGAAGAGTTATAAAGTGCTGAAAATAATTTTACAATTATATGGAGAGAATCTCGTGCTCCTGCATATCTCTACTCTCACATACACTTCATAAAATCACCCACATTTCTTAATTTACTATTAATTTTTCAGAACCTGGAGGTTAAAGAACAGATTGCATACTTCAAAACAATAATGCTGGCACACAAGGACTGAGGAAAACAATGAAAAGTGAATGTCACGGATTTTTATTTTTGTATGGAGCAAAGTCTCAGTAAATGTTTGTGGATAATACTGAGAAAAAAATATTTCGTATTCTAAATATATAATGTATATAATAATACAGAAGATTAACCCAAATACTATAATACACAAAATGTTTTATGTATATAATATGTATTAATTATTGAATCAATGTTTTATTGCCCACAGTCAGATTCTCAGATCATGACTGTAGATTGCTTTTTCCCCATCCTTCTTTTCACAGCACTGAGTGGTAGAACAGAAATCAGTAAAACTGATGGAATATTTAACTCACTTTGCATCCATTAATACAATTGCTTTGACTATCAGATACCTCTTACCGTGCACTGTCAGCTTGGTTCCATTTCCACATTTGCCATGGGTTTTCTGGGTTAGTATCACATCACAGAAATATGAGTTGCTGTCATTCTTGTCAACATTGCTCAGTTTTAAGATAGAGAATCCCCTGAATATGTCCTTGATAATGTGTACGCGTGGCCTTCCTGCTCCTGAACTTGACCGAAGACTCTGCTGGTTGTCACAGCTGGGGCCCTTCCTCCAGTACACAACTGGCTCCTCATTCTCCTCCTTGGGGTATTCAAAGACACATAGCATCCACACAGTGGAGTTAAGGAGCACACTGGCATCTGTGGGGTATTGCAAAACCAAGAGCTCTGGCCCACTGCTAGCTGTAATTAATAATTAATTAATTGTCACATTTATTAAGGTTAATGTTCTAGTAATATTCTTCTTAGTCCAATACATTGTTATTTAAATATTTGATTGCAACTTGTTTTGTGCAGGAATAATTACAAACAAGGAAATGAAATTATGACTAAATGAAGTACAAATCAAAAATGAAATGAATACAGCAGTAAAAAGTTGTGCAGTAATATACTGTATTCTTGTATTAAAATAAATAGAAGAATATTCAAGTTTACCCACATGCACCACTTCTCATATTTTCTGTACAATGCCAAAAGTTTTGTTTCTATGCCATGTCAATACAAGTCTTGAATTTCCATAATTTTTCAGCTTCATTAATTCTTAACATCATATCTAGGTCCTTTGCTGGTTTTTAATTTTATTTTTTTTAATTCTTTATAAAATTTTATGTGAGTACTGTGTGCAAATAAAATAACCATATGGAACTAAAGCAGAAGGATGAGGAAGATTCTGGAAGATCTTCTTTATGGAAGATTCTATCCATAGAATAATGGATATTTTGAGAATGATTTCTAGTATATATCTGTTGTGCAGACAACAATGAGGTAAAGGACAGGAAGTATGCCTGAACACATCTATTACTGAGCCATGAGCAGGTAAAGTACAAAAAGAAAAAAAAAAAAAAGAACAATCCAACAACAACAAAAAACCACTTATTAGTTAAAGTTAGATTGTAATGAACAGGTATTAAATGGAAAGAATTCTGAAGGTTAAGCTGATAATACATTTAATTACTCCCTCTGCCAGAGGGTTGGAAGATATCTAGTTCCATCCATGTGCTGTGGGCAGGGCTGCCACCCTCCAGATCAGGCTGTCCAGGACCCCATCCAGCCTGACTTTGCATGCTTCCAGGTATAGGACATGCACAGTTTCTCTAAGCATCCAGTGCTTGTTCATCACCCTTATCACAAAATGTTTCTTCAATTAGGACTACCTTCTTTCAGAGTAAAATCGTTTCCCCTTGACCTGACACAAGAGGCCCCTGGTAAAAAATCTTCATCTTTTTGTAAGCTCTCTTTATGTCTTGAAAGGCCACAGTGAGGTTTCCCTGGAGACTTCTCCAGACTAAACAAGCCCATCTCCCTCAGCCTTTCTGCAAGAGAAAGGTGCTCCAGCCGTCTGATAATCCTCTGGATCCATAAGGATGAACACTGGGAAATTTTTGTGAATAACAGAATACCCATATCAGATACCCACTTGATACCCATATTTGATCAGCTAGCAGTGACACCTCACAATTTCTAGCAACTTACATGACTAAACCTTTTCTCCATTTGAGTCTCATCCTAAATTATTCAAAATTTTAACTAGTAATAACAAGTCTGCTTCAAAGTCAGTTATTTTAACTTTAAATAATTACGTTGAAACTCCAACACTTAACCCTATTCTCCCTTTGTAGTCAGTTAACAGAAATAAGTTAAAGAAAAGCTTGATTTTAACGCCATAATAAAGATTTAAACAGATACAAAAAAAATTATTTTCTCATCTAATGTAAAAATAGCATCTAATGTAAAAATATTTCTCATGTTCAGAGAAATATGTTAAAATTCTGTGAACTGAGTCATTTTCATTCTGAGAAGGTGAAATCAGATTTCCATTATAAATTATGTTATATTTATGGAACTGCTTTGAAATGAAGCAATTTGTCATATGCAAATATATATGTATGAATTTTTATACTGAGTATAAAAAATTGGAAAGTAATTACAAAACACAACAAATGGTTTTAAATCAGAAAAAATAATGTTTTAAAATAGTTGAATACCTTTGTTTTATATGTTATATTTACTAGAATTTTTATCATTATAAGACATGTAAGAAATGTATGTTCAAAAAGAACATGTGTTGTACTTTAAAGGGATTTGGTTTTCTGAGATCTGACATGAAACCCATTTTAAAATGTAATTAACCCATAGGTGTACAGGACCTTTCTGAGTACTTTCTTCATTTAAGTATAAAGCAAATATCTTAAAAAATTTCCTGCATCACACTCATAGCAACATTCCAAAACCCAGTGAAAACCATTCTCAGCTTAATCATTAATATCTCATGCATTTTCATCATATCATACAAAAAATTGATACAAATTTTATTTTTGGCACTTTCATCCCTAATTAAATATAAGTATTACCTTTCTTGATTACTTTAGTTTTGAAGAATTCTGGAATAAAAGCTTTTGGTAGGGTTTCTTTTTGTTTTTGTTTTTTTCTTTTTTCTTTTTAGAAAGTTAACAAAACAACAGCAAAAGATCTACTTACCTGTAGTGTTAACAAGATAAGATATCATAAACAATATGCCAATCCTCATCTCTTTTTTTGGGATTGCTAATTGACTGGTTTTAAAATCTCAGATGAGACTCCAAATAGCACAGCTGCAAACACCTAGCTGAAAATTAAAGTTCTCCAAAAAACATGTTTTTAACCTTGTTTCTAGGGGGAGGTTCTTGTGGTTTTACTCACTTATTTCCCTTTCTGCCATTGCACATCCTGGACATTGCAACAGATCAACTTCTAATATTGTAGTTTCAAACTTAACTCTAGTGTGACTGTTTTTCCATTCTGAGATTTTTCTTCAGACAGCTCAGAGGAGGAGAATCGGTTATATGTGGTGAGTTTGGTCAAAGCTGCCCACCTTAACAAAACATATATATATATTGTTAATGGCAGTGATGATGTAATACAGCAAAGTTTTCAATAGACACCTCCCTGTAATGCCCTTAAAGCCCTGTTTATGCCACTAGCACCAGATACATGAATGTGACGTTGCTCTATCTTTGTAGCTAGAAAAATAACATACTGCAAAAATATTTCATAATAAATATTATTTCTCTTTGCTGAAGTGGTACTGAATGTCTACTAATCACCATGCAGTCCAGCATACATGAACATTAGCTGCCAAAACCCTCAAAGTGTAAAAGGCGGCGATGTGGTTTCTGTCCTAACATATACCTTTGCAATTCACTTAAGACCATGAGATCAGCTAACTTCCTTGCAGCTCACATTAAATTTTATCCCACACCATTACCCCGGGTTTTATTAAATCTTGGTTTCATTCCTCTCTCCTGCCTACTGATCTGAATGCCTGGATTTGATTAAGGATAACTTCCATGGAAATATCCAGTTTTGACTTGACAGCTTCGAGAAGAGCATCTGCAAATTCAGTGGTTAACTGCTGCAATGACTAATCATTCTCACTCACTATGAAAGACTATGTCTTCATTTCTATTCTGAGCATAAAGCTACCTCCTTTTTTTTTCTATTTTCTTTTTTTTTTTTTTTCAAGATGATACTTAAGATTTCTTAAAACCATTTTATGAAGCATTAAAATCAAGTTCCTTCTCTTCTGCTCTTCTGACTTAATTACAGATATAGGACTACTCCTCCACAGTGCTGATACTTAATGATACTTCAAAAAGAGTGGGTAGGAGCGATGTGTTTGTGGCATAAGCACTTTCATGAAGACAAACGAGAAGACTTTTGTACTTACTGCACAGAATTTATGTGAGTGAAACATCAAGAAAACATGGTGAAAGATTTGAAATAATGAAGAACTTAAATAAGATCAAATCTAAAAATTTTACTTTATGACATACAATAGGAACTATTAAAATGTCTTTGTAAAAAAAAAAAAAAAAAAAAAAAAAAAAAAAGTGAATTTACTCTCTAGCACTGCGAAGAGATGAATTTTTAAATATTTTTATATATTTCCTGAACAGTAAGTAGCTGTCTGGGAAGAATTTTAAGCTCTGAAACTTAAAACAAGTTAATAAATGGACAATGACCTTCTAACCTCCTCCTCTAGAAAGTAGTGTATAACTTTAATATAAATTGGAAGACTGAAGTGTAGACCTTCTCCAAGACCACCTCATGGAGATAAAAATAAGAATCAGCTCTATTAAAATATCAGAGATATAACAACAAGTAAGAACAATCACATTTAGACTTCTGTCAGTCCTGTGTTTTTTCTTATTGCCAGTTTGAGCTATAATGTCAGGGAACATATAAATTTATCTAAAAATATCTTTTTAATTATCTGCAGAAATGATGATTAGTTTTAGGACTATAATAGAGACAATACATTTTTAAAAGGCCTAGATTCCAGCTGATTGATTATTGTCCTACAGGACTAGAAAAATATGAATGGATTTATCTAGTAGGCTGTAGCTTCTCTGTCAGCAGTGTCATTTTCACTATGTTAAATGGGAGAATTAAGAGTGTAACTGCATGTCTGTGTCACTGCTCTATGGTTGTAGTATGGAGGAGTGGCATATTCTAAATGGGAAACAAATATGCAATCTGTTTTAAAAATTTATAATGGCATCACAAAGAGATGAGAAAATAAATTTTGTGCCAATTTCTACTGAAGCAATGAAAACAGATAACATGTGGGCAGAAGTAAACAATTTCAAAGAGTAATGGCTTTTCACCAATCCCTATTTGGAAGTATTTATCTTTGAAAAGCAATCAAGCATTTTATGAATGTCTATAAAAATGCAGATGAATATAGCTGTTTGGAAAGAAAAACTTATGCCTTGTAATTCAACTATTACTCCAAGGTAGCTACTGTACAATATACAGCTGCTTAAAGCAAGCATCTCCTTAGCATGCCTTAAACAAATAGGGTAACTTGCATCTAGTTTACAATTTATCATTTAGTCTTATTCAGCATAAATTTCATCCAGAAACATTATAGAAAACTTCCTAATGGTAAGCGTAGCAGAGCAGATCCTCTGGGGAGATGGCGGACCTCCAGATAAAATGGGACAGACCTGTATCCAGAACAACATGAGAATAGTGCATATGACTTCAGGATTTCTCTGTGTTTTCTGATCAGTTGTACAAGATGGGAGAGAACAAGCACAGACAAACAGGCAGAAGCTACTTTAAGTCCAATGACTCCTGAAAGCCTGAGAGAAAATCTGCCGTTTGCCCAAATAGTAGAAGATACGTAAACTCCTGCTGGGTTTCTGCGTAGAAAAGCATTGTTTAGCCTATTGGAAAGTTAGAGACAATGCAGGATCCCTTCTAGTAGTTACCAGAATAAAACAGGAGCAAAAATGAAATTCACACTAAAAGCAAATACTTGAATGGCACCCCACAGTCACAATTAGGAGAGAAATGAGATGGATGAATTACAAGAGAAACATGGAAAGAGTATTTGGGCTCATTTGACCAAAACTACTAGCTTAGGTTAATTATTTAACTGTTCCTAATCCTTATAGCCAAAAAAATAAAATGCAACTATATTTTCCTTTCAGAATATTTTCACATATCTCTTTATTAACCACTATGTGTTGAAAAAGTTATTAATCTTTTTGGTTGGACTTTGGCAACAAGATTTTCTGCATAGTTCCTCTTAATAAGAATGTATGGTTGAAATTGACAACAGTGTATATCAGTAGTGGATCTGCAGCTTGCAAGTTGAATTTAGAGCCAGTTGTGTATGAAGTCAGCTAATCTCAGACTATAATATAATATGTTTCTAATAAATAAAAAGCTAAAGACTTTTATAACACAGGTCATCAGGGGAAGATAGCTATATTAAACTTTTGGATTAATCTGAATAGTTGGAGATCAGGAATTTGAGACTTTCCGTGTATAGGAATGTGGAGCCTGCTAGTACTTCCCTGTTCTCCTGGGTGTGTCCATATACAGAGATGGTTTTAACTTTGCAATGAAATGTTCTTTCAAATTCCGGAGGGTTCTATATTCTTAATGTATGAGTGGAAAAATCTTGAGACTGTTTGACCTGCCAGTATAAGCAAAGGAGGCGTGGCTAGATTATCCATTCAAGTCTATAGGATATTTCTTTTGATCTGCTGAGGGGAGTCTACAGTATATATGACTTATTCTTCCTGGGATTTCTTTTCTTGAATTTTGCATGGAGGGATCCAAATATGAGTAAAATGCTTAACAAACAACCCAAGCAGGATAGTAACATTAAATTCTGGCAGGCTTCATGCAGCCTTACCTAATATATCAAAATACTTTTGCCAAAGTCAATACAGAAGCTCAGTGTTCTGGTCCTGGATATACCCAAATGCGAAAATTCCATAGTTTCTCTAATCACGTATGTGCTTTTGAGATTTAGCTATAACTTCATACCAGTCCTTCACACATGTTCAGAGTCTTAATGCGCATGACCAAGTCTCAACCAATTTTAAAAAAATGCTATAATAAAAATATTTTTTTCCTGATACTGTACAGAGCTTGCATAAGAAATGGAAAGCTGCAAATCTTCCTCATCATAGCAAGGTAGAATTCTGCATTTCAGAAAGCAACACAGTGTGCAGTATAAATCAAGCTATTATAGAGTTTAAACATCTCTTGGCTCTTCATCTTCATCTCTCTCTCCACATTTCCTTTTCTCTCTTTTCCATTGAACACTGAATAATTTTATCCTGTATAGATCGATATTGAAACTTTAAAATCACAGCTATTTAAAGGCAGCTACTGTAAAGAAAAAACCTATGTGATTTTCCTATTCCCACTGAGAAATCAGTTCAGTGATGAAGCCACAGATTTTTACACAGATCTTGGTTTATAAGCTGTTAACTTCACAAACCTGTGGGGGAGGATGTAAGTCTGAAATATAATTGTACCTTGAAGAACAACTAGTTGCTCTGGTACTTATGTCAGTGATGCTGGACTAGTATTGAACAAGACAATCACTTCAACTTGGAGAGCATGATGCTGATGCCTTTTAAATCCCATTTACATTCATTACTGTAATATATATTTTACTGACACATCAAGCAATGAACTTCTATCTCTACAGAAACTATATTTCACACATAGGAATAGAAAACTCGAGGAAAGGAAGAGTAAGGAAATATTAAACAGAGAATAAACAGAGAAGAAAGAAGAAAACTTCCTAAAGATAAGTGTAAAACCACCGACTCACATATATTCAGTGTCTTTAGATAAGTGGTACATAGCCTACCACTCCCAGACAGGATGCTTCTTGTGAGCATGTTTGGTTGTTTTTTTTGTTTTGTTTTTGACACTTGCACAAATGAAACTATCTGATGAGGCTTGTTTACTGTAAGAGACTGAAGGCTTCAATTCCTTATAATAGTACTGTCATCAGTAACAAAAAATTGTGAAATTAATAACATTTGGATACTTTATTTTGACTTATCTGTAAACTAGTAAGCTGTATTGTCATTAATTATACACTATTTTATGAAGATCCAAAAATGTAATTTCAACAGTTGAATAAATATCCACTTCCTCCCCCTTGGGGCTTCTTGACTCCTTGTAATTCACGTAATTGTTTTTTTTTTTTTCTTTTTGTCTGCTTTTTTCCTTCTTTCCAGATATCATGAGGAAATGAAGAAGAAAACTGACTAGTTTTTTGACGAGCTAGAGTTCCAGATTCCACTCTTAAAAGTGAAAAGTATTTAAAATAATTACATAAATGAGTGTCCTGGGGGCACAGTAAAACTTCAGCATAAAACTTCAGATATCTGTACATATATCCAGAAGCTGGAGCTTATAACAATAACTTTCTGTTAATTCCTTTGAGGAAGATTAAAAATCGAGGAAAAAAAAAAAAAGCTTTAATGTTGGAGAATAAAGTTAACTCATAATTGGATTATATTAGCAGTGTGATTCATGAAAGTTTGTGCTACCACAGTCAGACTTTATCTTTTTCTTTTTCCCTTAATAAATATTATGAAGATTTTCCAGTGCTGGCAATCTTCCACCGTCATCTAACATACAGTACCCTCTTGAAAGTAAGGACCTGAAAATTAATATGGCTTTCTTATGAACATAGCATATGCTCAGGAAAAACCACAGGTGTTAATAATAAAGCAACTAAATTACTGTCTTCTATCCCTGTGGAGAAGCCAGTAGCAATCTGGGAAACAAACAATCAAACAGGAGGTAATTCAGATTCTTACATGTGAGATAAAACTGTAAAATAGTTGGGTCTTACATTAAACAGAAAACATTTTATGTGTTATACTGTGAAATAAACATTGAAAATGCTTTACCAGCAGTGATTGGAGAGATAAAACTCACTCTTTTTACTTTGCTTCCTTATATTTTAAGGTTAGAAGACATTGGTTTTTCTTTTAACATTAAAAGGGAAGTGAGAAAATGTAAAACGTAAATACAAAGAACAGATTTGTTGGAAGTGATACCCTGAGATCTGCGAGGAAACATTTTTGGTGGCCAGTATAAACATTTAACATTACATTTAAACCACTCCTAAAAACACAAGACGTCTTGCATTGCATTGCATAAAATATTACCTTTTATAAAATCGTTTTAATCTGTTTTGATTGTGGTGAAAGTTTACCTTTCTTTAGCACAATTCCTTTTCACTCTCTTAAATTTCCTGTTTGAAATAAACAGTTTTCATGTGAGTTAATCCTCAGTGAGTTAAAAAGTATTTAGGCTTAATTTTCCCAGTCTACCACAGTGCAATAGGGACAAAACTTAAAAACAAGACCCAAAAGGAGAGTTTTTCAAAACTCTTCTGAGTTTATTCAGGTAATAAACGGCAGTAGAAATGCAAAAGTCCTGGCTTGGCTAATTCTTTTCAAACACTTCACTATCTTTCTAATCTAAGACTCTTTCGGTGTAAAATAATCCCTTTAAGGGCCCAGGCAATCTGGGAGCAATCTAGTCCAATGTGGCTGAGTTCAGCAGAAGCACCCACTACCCACTACAACTTTCATTCACAGACACAATCAACAAAATGGAAGTTACTGCGACCCATGCGTCTAGCAACAGCCAGTTGCTAGAGCATCTTCAGATGGAAAGAGGGACTGGAGTTTCATTATGAAAGTATTTCAGTGTAATGGAAGAACCCTCATGCATAACTGCCCGCTCTGGCAAGCCTAAAACTATTTGAATCAATAAAAATACAAACGTTTCTTCTCTCCATAAAATTCACAGCATTACTAACCATTCTGAAGAGCATTTATTGGTTATCTACTAGTTTTAAGCACAATACTAAGCAACAAGGAAACCTTTCCATTTTCCTCCATCATGTAATGCTTCAGAGCACCAGAATGCAGAAAGCTCAATTCTCTATCACATGATCTTTTTTTGGTATATAGAAGGGAAACTGTTTCAGAGTCCAATTTGATACAGCCTTTGAGGCAGGCATACCAGAGTCTTGAAGGGTAACCATGAATGGAAAATGTGATGTGCTGATAGTATTTATCTCTCTTGCAGGATCTCTCTTCTGTCTGTGATGAGCACACATATGTTTTCCATCAGCAGATAATCGCTGGTAGCATCAACATCTTTGTGCTTCAGAAACTGAGGCAAAGATACTTCTGATGATTATAAATCCTGATATCGAAAAGGAAAATTGGGAATTATTCAAATTTTCTGTAACAATATTTAGTAATGAAAGGTGGCTGATAAATTCATCGTCAATAATTTACCATGCAAGGGGTGAGTGGGTAAACTAAGAAAGATGAAAGTAGATAATGCTTTCATTTATTTTTCCCTCCCCTCTTCCCTTTTTCAGGTTTCAATTTCATTTTGTGCTTTGCATGGGATGCTTGTTTCCTGTTTGAAACATTTGTAAAATTGTAAGAGAAAAATCTTTTCTCATCTTTTGAAGTTTTCATTTTAATGGTGTCCAAAGCTCATGGGTAGCCTCTACTGGAACAAAGTTGTATATGTAGTTGAGGGAAAGCAAGCTAAGTCTGTATTCTAGCAGACCTGTTACTATCATCTAGTCTACCTTCCATCTGAATTGGAAATTATACATTTTATTTATTCATTTTGTGGGATGGGAGGAAACTGTTAAGTTAGCAAATATAAGACCAGGAAGTTTAAAACTGTTAACACTACACTTAAATTGTAATGCGTATGGTCCCAAAAGTGTTTGAAGAGAAGAGAAAAAGAAGGAAAGAGAGAGAGGGAGAAACGAGGCAAGTGTAAAATGTATTATGGATGATGGAGAACTGACAGATCATTTTGAAATTGCTAGAATCAACTACTGAAGAATGTAACAAGTTCAATTTCACCTCCGTGTCGAAAGTCTGTACAGTGTATTAAGGGAAAACAATGTCTTAAGCTTTTTAATCTTTCCATTTTCTCTTCTGTGATGAAACTGGAAAAGTGTTTAACTTTTCAAATATTGTTAAGTATGCAATTATTTTTTTCATTATAGATATGTGAAATTTAACTCTGAGAGCTAGAAAGATGAGGTTAAATGGTTAAGATTTGATCCATGTTAAGAGAATCTTCCTCTCAGTGCAAGGTATTGACATCAGGCTGACCAAGGAAAATTTTCTGAAGATGATTTGTCAAAGCAGGTCAACAGGTGGTAAATAATTTCCAAAATGCTATCTTTTGACAAAATTTTCACTAGCCATAATTTCAGTTCAACCCAATATCCACTGTCCATTACTTATCTTAGAGTAATGCTATTGTCATTGATTATAAACAATTATGTTTTACTACTTTTTCATTGCAGTATTTCTTTGGATCATGTACAATCAGTGAGTGTACAATCAATAGGTATACAGAGGTTAGGCTTAGTAAGATTATCTCAGTGGAAAAATAATCAAAATAAATGGAAATACTCACAGATGTTGTAAGCTCACAGTAAAACTCCACAAGGAGCAATCTCCAGAAGGAGATCCTTCTGTGGTGGCAATCAGCACTTAAATGGGTCTAGGAGAGGTGGAGCCAGGCTCCACCCCTTCTGGTAGCACAGATGAATTGCCTTCACCTGTGCTCCCATGGCTGACTCATTGCTTGCCTCGGGTGGTCAATCAGAGATTCAGGACGTGATCAATAGTTCCCATACAGATCATCACTGCAACAACCCCAGTGTTTTCTAGTACTGTCTGTTATAACCTTATTCAGTTAACAGTCTGCCCCTAGCTGTTGTTTTATTACTAGTAGCAGTTGAGATATGAGAGGTACATAGATCCCCATGGCAACAGCTTTAAACAGAAAGTAAACAGATATGTCCCTGAAATCTTCAAAAGAAACACCTTTCTAACCAAGGAAACCACATGGCCTCCATGTAGCCCCAAAATGAGTAAGTATTCCTTTGAACCTCTAACTAGACTACCTGTTTTTAGAGTGGCAGGATAGGTTTGCTTAAAAAGACACCAAAGATTTATCTTTCCTTAAGATGAAATATTGGTTTTGTGGCTACTTCATCATAACAGGCTCTGCCACTAAATCTTACATTGTCTTGTGTGGCAGAATATTGTTACAAAGGGAACTGTATTATATTTCCTAACATCAATATATTGTCTGAACTTCTTTATCTAAAAGACTTTTTATCAGTGAAGACATTCTGGTAATAAACTGTAACATTTTGTGGCAAAAGCCATAGCAAATTCTTGCACAAGTTTACCCTTGGCAGAAAGAAGTGTTTCAGGCACAGGTTCCCTCTAAACTTTCCACATCCTTGTACCTACACTGCATCATTTATAACAGTTGCTGTGAGAATACTGTATGCTCTGCCAATTGTCTCTAAGTGAGATTCTGATTCTGGAGAAGCTACAATAAGATGTTATCACATTGGCTTAATGTAGAGGTTAAGCCAAGTTTGTGTGTCTTTATAGAGAAGATTGAATCAAGTTTTCTTGCTCACCGCTGAAACTTTCGCTGTGTTCAGGCCTACTGCTCTTTCTGACTTTTTTCAGATGCATGATCAAAACCAAATGTGCCACTCTCACAAAGAGCCATAAAACCCTGGTAGAAATACTGCTGCCTGCTGCTGGCTATTGAAGATCCCTTACTGCAATATCATTTTTGATGGAAGAAGTTGCTCCCCTGTAACTTCTCAAGAGTAGCTACCAGCAGTCTTTCTCCTTAATGCTTCTGACATCTCTAGACCTAGTTGTGATGCTGTAGATAATCTCATCTGAGGGTAGAGATCAGAGAAGCTTAATGCCAGGAAAGGAAACGCTCCTTGGGAGCTGCTCACCGAGAAGCTCTGAGTGCTCAAACTCAGTTCATGTGTGTCACAGAAAATGCAGGAGTGTGCAAACACCCAGAGCAACACCAAAAAAGCGCCAAGGAAAAAGAGTTATGAGTACTTGGAGTTGAAACATAAGTCTTGCTCGACTACTACCAGTATTTTTAAGTAGAAGAAGTACAGCAACAGTTATGAGTTGCCTTGTAATTTGTGACACCTCTGATGTTGAGATCCAGGACTAATTTTCTGTTTAGATTTCCTTCCCTGTACTATGAAATTACCTATTGGAAGTATTTGGGAAATAGCATAATATGCCCATAACTACCGTTGGATAAAAGTCTGTCATTTAATTGTGTTCTCTGCTATTGTTTAAGGAGAGATTTCTGGAAGAATCTCTCATGGCTAGTAATATGAGAATTTACAAGAAAAGGCATGTGATAAGCAGGCCATTGTGCTGAACATCTTCTCTATTCATAGAATCATAGAAAGATTTAGGTGGGAAGGGACCTTAAAGTTCACCTACTTCCAATCACCTGCCATGAATACGGCTGCCCCTCCACCAGCTCAGCTGCCCAGAGCCCCATCAAACATGGCCTTGATCACCTCCAGGGATGGGGCACCACAGCTTCCCTAGGCAGCTGTGCCAGCACCTCACCACCCTCTGATTAAAAATTTCTTCCAAACATCTAACCTAAATATCCCTTTTTTTAAGGTTAAAACCATTCCCCCATTGTCCCTGTCTGTTTCTCTCCTTCTTATAAGCTCCCCTCCAATACCAGATGGCTGCTAATTCCCCAGAATCTTCTCTTCCCCAAGCTAAACAGACCCAATTCCTTCAACCTTTGCATAGGAAAGGTGCTCCAGCCCTCTGAGTTTCTTTGTGGCCCTATTGTTGTGAGAACGTTCAGTGAGTATTTTTTCCCCTTATTGCTCTATTATTCATCAATTTTCTTTCTCTATTTTCATGCTTTCATCTCAGCATTCATATTTGCCATTTATTCATTAGGCACATTACAGAACAAACCTAATCTATCACTTATTAGATGTGCATTGTATAAAAAATAGATACTTGCCACCTTTCTAGACTCCTACAATGTTTACAAAGCAGAAGCTTTTGCTTAAACTTTCTGAATGCTATAGATCTAACTAAATTAACACACTTGCATTTCTTGATCTAGTTAATCCTTCTGGACACAAGATAGTCACTGCAGAATTAATGAAAAATGAGTTAACTCTTTGAGCAGTGAGAATGGAATTATACACTTTTCCTTTCTCTAGTTTACAATGTGCTATCATAAATTTTTGTGAGGTTTGTCTTTTGAATGATGACCTTTAAAGCCCGAATGTTTCTCTAATGCATTTATTTACTTTCAATTTAATTTCATAGAAATATTGAAGAACACTGGTAACAAAATTGATATTAAAGTATGTGTATCAACTGGAACGTTAAGATCAAAGTTCAGAACCTATACATTACATACTTCAGTATTTTAATATAACTTGGTATTTTATATTGTCTCAGAGAACTAACAAGTGAATCTCCATACCAAAGCAATTAAAGTGATTCTCAGGAATCATGAGGCTTTTTATCTTTTGTATCTTATTTTTTGGCTGCAATTTGAATTTACTTTTCTGTCTTAAGGAAAATCTGTTCTTGCATCTACAGACTGTCAAGGAAATTCCTATAATATTGGCTGGTGTTTAAAAAAAAAAAAATCAAAACAACGGTAACAATTAAAAAAATGAATATTTAAATAAGTTTCAGAAATAAGGTATTAAAAAACCATATTGCACCCTTTTTGAACTGGGACCACATTTTCTTTTTGACTCATTTTATTCTTCATATCTATACGGATACAGGCTTGAATTTAAATTTATGTATTTATATTTATGTTGTAAAAGTTCCATGCTATTGAAAAAAAAAAAAATCTATTCTGCCTGTATTCAATCTTTATTTTTTCTTGAATTGAATGTTTTTTCTCCTTGGTTGGTTCCTCAAGCAATGTTCAATTATTCTACAGAGATTGTTCTATAGGAAGTCTTGAACGAGTGGTGTTAGCAAGCATGAATACAGAATACGTGCAGAATTTAAGAGATATACTATGACTCCTAGTTAATTTTCAGCTGATAATTTTTAGTGTCTTTTTTCACATCCTGTTTTATGAAATATAAAGAAATGTACCTACTAGTACAAAATATTGTAGTATAAGATACATATGTGAGACTGAGAAAAGGAGCAAGTATTTTTGTTAAAAAAAAAAAAGCAAAAAAATCATTTGTTTATTGTACTGTTAGTAACAATTTCCATGGCTTTGGCAAATACAATATTTGCACATATGGTAACTGTTTTTTTGTTGTTTGTTGTTGTTTACTACAATTAAGTGAATCCAAAACTATTACATGAGCATCAGTTTTGTTCACCAATTAAATGCCTTTCACAATATTTTCCCCACAGCTTCATTCTATTTATCAAGTGCTGATGTACTTTCTATGCATCTAAAAGGTGAACATCTGTTTGTATGAAGGAGTTCCATTAGACCATAATAATCTCCGGTTAATTGCACAGCAAATATTTATTTCTCACACATCAAATTAATGACACAGTGAGAGAATAATCACATCAGCTTGGCAAACAGCATCTACAGAGCTATCTAAGACATCCAAGACAGTCTTGGCAGAAATCCTACATTTAGAAGAATTGTGTACCTTTGAGAATACTATCATCATTTAATTACCAGATGATGGTGTTTTCTGGGCTTTTTTTTTTTTTTTTTTTTTTTTTTTTAACATGGGAGGAATACTGTTAAAACTTTAAAAAGAAAATAATAATCTGAGTATTCTAACATCCATTTCCACAATGTAATTGAAGAGTCATTATTTTCAAGCTACTGCAAAACTCATTTAAAATAAGATTTGGCCACTTCAGTCACTACAGCAGTGTCTGTAACATTCTTAACAGCAGTGTGGATACTTTTCATGTGACTACAGCAACGATTGTTTCCTACTCCTAACATATTTTCGTATTCTACTCTCAGTAGGCTGTGCCAGTATTCTCTATGCTATATAGTTAGTAAAACCAATGACACTATATGCAACTGACAAAGGTCAATGATGCATAGCAGAATAAAGTTTTTTTTTGAGGGAGTGGTAATCCAAACTATCTCTGACTATTCTGTTTTATGTCTTTGCTATAAAATTCATACCATTTTTCTTAATATAAATTCTGAGAGACTCATAAATATTTATTTTGTTTGTGCAAGGTTTTCTTTTTATACCACATTCTTTTTCTGAAGCTTATTCAAAAGTAGATGCATGGTATTTCTATCAAATATAAGGGCTCTTAGACTGTGCATAGAAACTCAATTTTAATAACTAGAAAGAGTGTTCATTTTTCTTGAAGTTAATTGAATTTGATACCAACTACCTGGATTTACAAACCCTACTTTTTATGAAACTGAGATGAAAAGACTGACACATGCTTTGTTTTCTTCCCCCCCATCCTTTTTTTTTTTTTTTTTTTTTTATTTGCTCTACCTTGAAAGTATTCAAGTCTCAATAAGAAGGTTGCTCTGAAAGTAATGCCTTCTATGTTATTATGTTGGCCCACAACATCAGAGGCAGATGTTGACAATATGGTAGTACAGATTGAACCTCTGCCTAATATCCCATTACATTTTGTTGCTGTGTGACAGATGGCAACAGAGGGACAGAATGGTGTCTGACATGGAAGTGTGAATGAAGCAAAGGTATTGAATTTAATTGCTGCAGGCAGAAAAAAATGCACCCATTGACATTCATCAATGCATGCTGAACGCTTATGGATACCAAGCAGTGGATATGAGTAGGTTGTGCATTTCAGCAGTGGTGACTGCAATGTTCCAGATGGCCATGCAGTTTTCAAGCACAACATTCAGGCTTGTGTTTATCACTGGTAAGAAAAATAGTGTTATTATGATCTTAATATCTGTTGTAGCTTCCATTGAAATAAACAGAAGGTTCGGAGTGACCTACATGTATGCCAGGAAGTATTCACTTTTTATGTAAATTGTGTTCATGAAAGTGGACAATTTGTCTTAATTTCTCCCTGGCTCTATAGAAAAAATGTTATAGGTTAAACTAAAAGAATTGCTTATAGTAAATAAATAAATAAACCCTAAGAAGAAAAAGGTTTGTAAGATCCATGGGTGCAAACTGTACTTCTGAAATTTTGATGA